TTTTAATAATAATTTCCTCCACCTTAAGTTTACTTTAAGCTTTTTACAATAACCTTTCAATTTCTCTTTAACACTCTCTGACCTGTAGCATACACAGTGCCTAGGCAACTGAGCTGGTACCTAGCTACCAAAGGACTTAGTACAGGTGAACCCCAGATTACGAATGCCTGACTTATGTTTGTAAGTGGCATGGTGATATTATGAACCAACTCCTATAGAGCCTGTTTAGACTGCAAATTTGAGGTACAAGATAGAATTCATTTTGGAAGTTTAACAGGGATGAGCAGGGAGGGGGAGAAAAAAAATGAAGGAAAATAGCAAGAAGGGCTTGGCCAGACATTGTAATTAATGAATTACATAAATCAGTGGTAATTAGCATTGTAAAACAAAATGTCTGAATGATCACATGAAAAACCAGTATGATTTATAAAGTCTTCACTAAAAAAGAAATTCAATCCCTACCAGGAAAAATGAAGAAATATTTGAGATACATTCCTATACAATGGTTTATAATAGCAAATATAATTACATTAAAATAGAAAACCCACTAGAGAGTCAGCTATGAGTGTGGTACACAACAACAACAACATTATGTTAAAAATGTTTTAGTGTATCTGGAGTTTTTTCTTCAATGTTTTTTTATGCATACTAAGATGCACTATATACTAAGACAGACCATTTGATTAATAAACGTTAGACACAGGCCCTATCTAAGTATTCCAATTTATGTACAAATAAAGGACAGATTTACAAATGAAACTTGTTTGTGGATATTTTAAACTTATTTACTAGAAACACTTACTGAATTTTTTTCTTCTTTACCCAACTTACGTTGTTGTTGTTAGGTGCTGTCAAGTCAAGTACGACTCATAGCGACCCTATGAACAAAAGATCTGAACCCTGTTCTGTGCTGCGCCATCCTCACACTTCCTGACACACTGGAGCCCGTTGCAGCAGTCCCCTTGTCAATCCACCTGGTTGAGGGTCTTCTTACCCAATTGATAGCTTGTTCTAAATCTGACGATCATGCTTGCTCTTTTGTTGTTGTTGATTTTGGTCCATTTTCTCCTGTTTGTCACTGGGACTTAGTGACTTGAGGTGGAAATGGATTGTCTATGAATGACAGAGGCTAGTAATCGACAAGGAATTGGTACCTCACATTGAATTGAAGCCAGGCTTCAGAGTAATCTTCTAAAATAAGTTAAGCAGAGAAGGGTAAGTTCTGGTTGCTGGGAACCAGAAGCCGAGAAGTTAACTTCCTAGCTCACCCTGTAGTTTGTCTCATCTTCCTCATGTTTGCTGATGAGGCTACCACTCCAAAACACCCAGCTCAAAACCTCAAAACCTCAAATCAGGCTTGACTCTGAACAATACCTCCAAACAGAGGATCAGAGAAATGGAGGCTTTTTAGAAGGGAGTTCAGCAGTCATCCAGTTCTGCCTGTGTCATATACAAGGTTTCCATCATTCTCAGGGCTTTCTTTGAAAGCCTCTTAGGATATTTTGCTTTCTGTTCATATTCTAGACTCTCCTGAGCAGTAATTTTTTTAAATGAAAATATATACAGCAAAACATATGTCTCAGTTCAACAATTTCTGCATTTAAATCCAGTGACACTGGTTGCATTCTTTAAGTTTTACAATGTTCTAGAATGTTTTGCCAAGTTATTACATCACAGAACATTCACTGCCCCCTTAAACTTCTCATCTTCCTTTTCAAGTTGCTGTTGGCAGTTTGAGCCCAGATAATAATTCCTTAAATGATCATAATGCTCAAGGCAGTATTCTTTGGTCATTATGCTAAATTGTTGTTTGGATAAATTACAGGTTTGGTTTAAGAGTTAAGATTTAATGATTGTTTTAGGGTTATAATTTCAGGGTGCTATCTGCCTTCATTGAATTCAGAATGTCTGGATTCCATGAGATTTTGAAATTCTGTTCTGTGTTTTTCCTTCTTTTGATAAGGAGTATTGTAGGCCTGCATGATAATCTAGTGCAGCACTTGTCTGTCAGTTGCTGTATGAGATGACTCACAGGTTGCTGTAATGCCGGGAAACTATGCCATTGGATTTCAGATATAAGTAGGGTCACCCGTGGTAGACAAGATTTCAGCAGAGCTTTACGACAGAGATTTAAGACAGATTAGGAAGCAGGACTGTCCATCCACTTCTGAATAACGGGCCTTCAAAATCAGGAAATCTGTTGGATATAGCACTAGAAGTTGGAACAGTCAAAATGAAAAGAAACAGCTGTAAACATCTATTAATAATTAGAACATGGAATGAAAGGGCCAGTTCTTGGAAAAGGACATCATGTATGGAAAGGTGGAGGGTCAGTGAAGGAGAGGAGGACCCTCCGAGAGATGGATTGATGCAGTGACTGTAATGTTGGGCTCGAGTGTGGAGAGGATGACACAATATAGGGCAGGGATGTGAGCCGTTGTTCATAGGGTCGCTCTGAGTCCTGGTTGACTGGATGGTGCCTGACAACAACAATGAGTCACTGATCAAAATTGAACAGTCACCTATTTGAATGCTAGGAATGTTTCAGATTTATCTTTTTGTCCTCCACAATGGCAACCACATTGTTTAGCATACAGCAGGATGGGTGCATAAATATGTTTATTCACTCCACAGAATTTTTGAAGCTCATGATCTGGGTTGGTTACTAGACCTATATGATGGCAAAAAGATTACTGCTGATGAGTTTGAACTTCTTACCTTTTGGTTATCAGCTAAGTGCACCTTTGATGGCCTTTAGTGGTCTGTGGTTTGGAGGCCCTCTTAGAACTGAACGAGACAACTGGTTCAGGTCTAGGCCAAGGGAATGCTGTCTTGTTCTGGTTGTTTTTCAAGGCACTGTTTTGATTCCCTTAAAAACTTTTTTACTTGTCTTGATTCTTCCTTTGTTTAATCCAGCTTATTGTTTTTAAAGTATCTATTGTGAACCTGATACTTCTCTGGGTGCTACTGAAAATGTGAGGCTGTAGTAGGTCCCTGGCCTACTAGAACTTTGGAGTTTTTAAGGCCCACACATGGGCACTACCACAAGGTAGAATGTAGACTGCTGGTAGAAGGAGCAATCACAATTTAGTCCAGAAGTCAGGAATGCCTTTGTGGAGGAAAGGGATATTTGATGGTAACTGTAAATGAAACGTGAGATTTTAAAATTTTCTTTTTAGCAAAAAATAGACCCAGCAAAACCTTCCCATTCTACAGTTTCTAGACCTAAAAATTCAGGGCACTTGGTGAAATTTACAGTTGTGTCAACATCCTCAATATTTCTATTCTAGTTGTTTTATTTCCATTTATTTAATCTCCTTGCCCCTCCTTCGTCTCATCTGTTTAAAAGTACAGCTGACATCTTTGGTCATTCATATGCGTATGTATGTAACACAGGACTCAAGGGTGGCAGTATTCACTGTTTGGGTTAAATGGTTATTTAATTTACAGGTGGCTGCAGAGGGTAGCAGCCCTGGTGGCACCGTGGTTAAAGCATTTACCCTACAAATCCCAGATAGGTCAAACCCACCATCTTCTGCAGGAGAAAAATGAGTCTGCCCGCTTCTGTAAAGATCTGTGGCCTTGGAAATCCTTTGAGACAGTCAGGAGCGTGGCCTCTGGTCCACTCATAATATGAGGCACATGAGAAACAGCAGTGAGCACCGAGAAATCACAGACCACTAAAGGACATCAGAGAGCCCTGCTGGGACAATGTATATTAATCTCAAACACAATTAGCTCCAGGCCCGAGGCCCCAACCACTTTTTAAATGTAAGGCCTGCCCAGCAGGTCCTGGTTGACTCTAAACCAAGAGGCTTCTAGCCCACAGCTCATTGTTAGCTAAATCTGGTAAAGCCAATCAGTTCAGACCTGATTGTGAATGGGGAAAAAAAAGCCACAACCAAACAGTCCACAGCCGACCTTCACCAAGACAAGAGAAACCATCTTTCAGAATCCAGCTGCTTCACACATGAGCTTTAGTGGGAACAATGCTGGAAAGCAAGACTGGCTCTCCCCTGATTTGAGTGCCTTCATGCTTGGCAAAGCTGTTTTATTTTTGGACGGAGTGGATTTCCATTGTATCCCTACGCTCATCTCTTGCCCAACTAATGTTCACTCTAGAACTTTCCTTCCCAGGGCATCCTCTTTCAGTCTTTTGTCTAGATGTTGTCAGAATCCCCAGGTTCTAATCTGTTGCTGGTTGGTTCAGTAACAGAAAAATCTGCCAAGTTCAGGACTTTAAATTTTTTAATTTATTTTGTGTGTGTGTGTGTGTACCGTCAAATCAGATCTGACTGGTATAGGAGGAGATGGTCCCTCCTCCAGCAGAGCATCTAGTGGATTCAAACTGTGCACTTCTGGGATTGCAGTGCAGCTTCTTGCCACTAGGCCACCAGAGCTTGCCAGGACTTTGAATTTTTTTTTTTAAGAAGCAATAATAACTTTCTTTTCTGGAACTCCTTCCCTCTAAGGAGAGTACAACTTGAATTGGCAAATGTTTGGACAATAGGCAATAAGATAAAATAAATAGGATTAATGAAGAAAGGATACAATTAAGTGATAAAGGTGTATAAAGATTCTTTGGACAATGGAACACACACAATATGTATTCCAAATATAGCTCATTATTATTTTTACATAATCATCTAGTTATAACTTTCCAGCAGACAGTCATAATCTCCTCATCTTTCTACTGTAACTAAAGAAGAAGAATAACTTTTAAAAAGCACTCTTTCTTTTGTATCTCTTTTGCTGAATCTGTATGGGAGAAGCAACTCCCTATTATAGGAATGACCCTCAACCAGATGGAAGAAGCTAATTTTTTCCCCCTTCCATAGGCCTGGTGTCCCGAAACCGCCCTGAGGAGGAAGACCAGTACTGGCTAAGTATGGGCAGAACTTTCCACAAAGTGACCCTGAAGGATAAAATCATCACAGTGACTCGATACCTTCCCAAGTAAGTCCTTGGGTATTTAAGGCTTTCCACTCCTCTGCATTGTTGTTGTTGTTTTGTGTACTACCAAGTCAGAAGTCATTCATTACCGACCGTACAGTGGGTTTTCAGGGACTGTGAATCACCCAGGAGATCAAGATGGACCATCTTTGTTCCATGGAGTGACTGATGGATTCGAGCCACATGCCTTTCTGCTCTCCACATAACACGTACTTCAGATACTTAATTCAAAAGAGTTGAGAGACCACTTTTCTTTTATAGTCCTTGTTTTGTTTTGCCTTTTTAAAAAGGTATTATTTTAGGGCTATAGCTTATCTACCTCTGAAAGGGACTTTTTAAATATTTAATACAAATTTTTTATTTTCATTGTGATTTTTAACAAAAGTTTACAAAAAAGTTAAATTTTCATTCTGAATGGCACATATAAAGACATTTTTATTGGTTCGCATACATAAAACCATTCATATACATTGTGTTTTGTACACAAAGTATACTTGGTGTTTGATACAATCGTTCATATACATTGTGCTTCATTCATATACATGATGTTTTGTAACATCACCCATATGCATTATATTTTATGTCATTATTGATTGATGCCTGTTATATAGCCTCTGTCTTTTCATGTCCCCGTTGAGCCTTTTCCATTCCTTCACACCCAGCTCCACCCATCTCCATCTACTACCCCAGTGATTCCCTGATATCCCTCTTTTTCAAAGTAAAATTTTCAAAGGGAGCTCTGGCGGCCTAGTGGCAAGATGCTGCACTGCAATCCCAGAAGTACGTGGTTCAAATCCACCAGATGCGCTGCTGGAGAAGGAGGGGACAACCTCCTCCTGTACCAGTCAGATCTGATTTGATGGTACACGTAAAAATAATACAATAAAAATTTTTAAAAAAATTAAATTTTCAATTTGAGTGAAAGTTTACAAATTATGGTGGGCTTTAATTCATTAGCATTTTGTTTTAGAACATTAATTATAATTTATTAATTACTATGTCTACTTACCTCCTTATTTTATATATATATATAACCTTTCCATTTGCCCAGCTTATCTATTTATTAATGTTTACTCCCCTCTTTTTCCCTGCCTATCCCTCTGTCATTCTATGTGTAAACCTTTGGTGGTGGTGGTTGTTGTTAAGTGCTGTTGAGTTGTAGGTGACCCATAGCAACCCCATGAACGAAAGACTTGCACACTTGTATAACTTTCTTCCTTTCTGCAGGTTTATAGAGTTTCTGGAGGGAAGCTGTTTCGGAAGTCAATGCCATTCCTGCTTCCAAGCTTGTTTTAATTGGGGAGCTCCACCAAACACTGTCCACCATGGGTAGCCATTCTCGCATTTGACACATCAGTGTCACAGTGTTCAGCTTCACAGCAACCACAAGTTACCTCTGTACAGCAAGTGACAGACCAGGGCTGTACGACCTAGAAGAATGTTTAGCTTTAGATTTTTACAATTGTGATCTTGTGCCATTAGAGTCCTTTGGTGACTGACTTTTATTTTGCTTGCCTAATGCCCTCTGGATACATCTGTTAGGTGATGTTTCGTAAGTTCTTTTGTGGTGTTACATAGCACTCCATTCGCACCATAGTTTCTTTATCCAGTTATCCACAGATGGTTACTTTACTTATTTTTGTCTCCTTGCCCCTGTGAATAATGCTACAGTAAACATGAACTTATACTTTAATTAATATTATCTTCTTGTTATGTTCTGTCGAATCACTTGTGACTCATAGTGACCCTTTGTGCAAGAACCCTAAATCCTGCTCTATCCTGTGCCAACCTCATTGTCTCCAACACATCTACTCCCACTATCCAAGTCACTGAATCGATCCATCTCATTGAGGGTCTTCCTCTCCTGAGCTGTCCCTCCACTCTCCCAAACATGATGTTCCTCTCCAGGGACTGGTCCCTCTTTGCAATATGCCCAAAGCGTGTCAGATGAAGCTTCATTATCCTTGACTCCAAGGAGCACTCCGGCTTCACCCTCTCCAGGACAAACCCGTTTGTTCCCCTAGCAGTCCATGGTATATTCAACACTCTTCTCCAGCACCACAGCTCAAACGCACCAGTTCTCTTTCTGTCATCTCTAGTCACTGTCCAGCTCTCTGATGCATAGCACACATTTGCAAAGACTATAGGCCGGATCAGGTGCACCTTAGTCTCCAGCCTGACATTATTGCTCTTCAGTACTCTGGAGAGGTCTCTCACAGCTGACTTTCCCAATGCAGTTCATCTCTTGATTTCCTGGCCTTTGGCACCACGAGTGTTGACTGGGGGACCAAACAAACTAAAACTGTTAACTCTCTCAGTCTCTTCACCATCCACACTGATGCTGCCATTTGGCCCAGTGGTGAGAATCTTTGTTTTCTTGATGTTGAGCTTTAATCCGTATTGAAGGCTGCAGTCCTTGACCTTCTGTAGCAAGCGCTTCAGGTCCTCCTCAGTTTCAGCAAGCAGGGTTGTGTCATCTGCATAACGCAGGTTATTAATGATTCTTCCACCAATCATGGTGCCACATTCTATAATTTTTAACAAGCCAACTGGAAATAAGGAATCCAAGACAAGGACAATGAAATTGGAGAAGTTCTGAGAAATACCCGTTATCAGTCTCCGGAGATCAGTTAGTGACTGAAGTTGCAGTGGTCACTAAAGATGGCGGTGTCCAACAGCAAAGGTAGAGAAGTGGACTGGATTCTCTGGAGCCTTAGGAGCACACCCTCTGTTTTTCAGGTATCCTTATGAATCTGCCCAGATCCACTATACGTACAGCCTCTGCCCGTCGCACTCGGATTCAGAATTCGTCTCGTGCTGGGTAGAGTTCTCTCATGAACGGCTGGAGGAGTACAAGTGGAATTACTTGGATCAATATATTTGTTCGGCTGGCTCTGAGGACTTCAGGTCAGAGCAACTTTGGTTTTCCCTTTGTGTGTGTGTGTATTGTTTGTCCTGTTTTCTAATTACAAAGTAATGTTCTTTCTGTTGTTGTTATTAGGCGTCGTTGAGTCAAGTACGACTCATAGCGACCCTATGAACAAAAGATCTGAACCTTGCTCTATCCTGCACCATCCGCACACTTTCTGACACACAAGAGCCCATTGCAGCAATCACCGTGTCAGTCCACCTGGTTGAGGGTCTTCCTCTCCTCTGCTGACCCTCCACCCTTCCCAGCATCATTTCTTTCTCCAGGAAATAGTCCCTCCTATCAACATGCCCAAAATATATGAGGCAAAGCCTCATCGTTCTTGCCTCCAAAGAGCACTCTGGCTGCACCCTCTCCAAGACATATCTGTTTGTTCTGTTGGTCATCCATAGGATGTTCAGTGCTCTTCTCCAACCCCACAGCTCAAAGGTGTCAATTCTTTTTCTGTCATCCTTATTCATTACCCAGCTCTCAGATGCATAGCAAGGAATCAGAAAGACCATGGCCTAGGGGAGCTCTGGTGGCCTAGTGGCAAGAAGCTGCAACTACAATCCCAGAGGTGCACGGTTCGAATCCACCAGATGCTCTGCCGGGGAAGGAGGGGCAATCTCCTCCTGTACCAGTCAGATCTGATTTGACGGTACACGCACAGGAAAATAATAAAATAAAATAAAAAAAAATACCATGGCCTAAATCAAATGCACCTTAGTCCTCAAACTGACGTCATTACTCCCCAATAATTTAGAGCGATCCTTAACTGCAGATTTTCTTAGTGCAATTCATCTCTTTATTTCCTGACCGCTGATGCCAAGGGTGTTAATTGTGGATTCAAGCAAGATGAAGCTGTTGACAGTTTCAGTCTCCTCTCCATCCATCATGACACTGCCTATTATAGGTCCAGTCTAGGAGAAGTTGGGGTGGGGGTAGGGGGTGGGAAGGGAGAACTTGAAAAAAAGCACATCTGTTATTAGTGAGATCTCTTGGCCCCTCAGTGATGAGATCTTTGGTCAAAGTATCCATGTAGATCAAATTCTTGACATTTTCCTGACTTGGCTAGGATTTCTGTGATGTCTTGTTTTCAGTTTTTGTATATGACTGAGGATAATGATGAGAAAAACCCCATAAGCTTGTAGGCCCAGGTGCAGAGAAGTATCTGTCTGTGCGATATAAATAAAAGCAAACTTGGTTGCCTGCCTTCAGAGCTTAGGTTTTAGAAGAACCTTGAGATACAGAGGCAAGAATGGTGAAACTTTGTCTCATATACTATGGGGATGATGTTAGGAGGGGCCAGTCTGTGGAAAAGACATGATGCTAGGAAAGGTAGAGAGAGAAAGAGAGGCAGACCCTTCAGGATTTATTATCCGTAGGTTTGAGCGTGGTGGAGATTGCGGGGATGGTGATGATACAGGGTAAGTTATGTTCACAGGGTCATTATCAGTCATAGGCCTGTCAGTGGCACCTATGGGGATGAGATCTTCACCACAGAAACTTTTATGAACTTATTTCCTCACTTCTCCACCTTTTTCCTCCCCTTGACCCTCTGTAGCTTAATTGAGTCTCTGAAGTTCTGGAGGACCCGCTTCCTGCTGCTGCCAGCGTGTGTCACTGCCACCAAGCGGATCACGGAAGGAGAAGCCCATTGTGACATTTATGGGGACAGGCCCCGGGCAGACGAGGAGGAGTGGCAGCTTCTCGATGGTTTTATCCGATTCGTAGAGGGCTTGAACCGGATCCGCAGGCGGCATCGCTCAGACCGCATGATGAGGGTGAGGGGCTCTGAGCTTCCTGGGAACTGAGCCTGGTCTGGAAGCAGGACCTCTTCCTCCTACTTCTGGGGCCTCCTTTTGACCAGTTTACTTTACGTTCGAGCACTTATCTGAAATCCAAGCAATACATTCTCTAAGTCAGGAGGAAGGAAGGTGAGATGGTTGCAGACAGGAACTGGGTGCTGTTGTGTGGTGCTGAGCACCTGCTCTGCCTGAGGGTCCAAGTCCTGCACAGACCCCTCAGATGAGACTTGGCATCAGCATGGCCACTTGTGTGGTGTGATGCTCAATCACTGTGTACAGACTCATTCAGGAAAAGTAATGGCAATAATGTATCATCTTAGACTTTGAGTCCTGGCACAATAGTTAAAGCACTTGGCTGCTAACTGAAAGTCCAGTGGTTTGAAACCACCGGACAGTCTGAGGGACAACAAGGTGGCAGTTGCTTCCATAGGCAGTATGGCCTTGGAAACACTATCGGGCAACTCTGCCCTATCCTCTAGGTCGCATAAATGTGAATAGACTCAATTATCTGTTGTTAAGTGCCATTGAATTGGAACGGACTCCTAGCTGACTCTCCAGTGGTTTGTCAGAGGCTGTAAACTGCACAGGAGGAGAATGTTCATGTTTCTTCAGAGGAGCAGCTAGTACATTTGAACTGTGTGCTGCTTCTTACCATTCGGCCACCAGAGCTTCATCCAGTGATAGTAGATTATGGGGTTTTTTTTCATAGCTTTTAAGTCTCCTGGATGGTGGAAGGAACCTTGGTTTTGAATTTAGTTAACTAGTGTTGTGAAGCTCTGTCTCACATACTTGGGGCACGTGGTCAGAAGGGATTGCTCCTTGGAGAAGGACATCATGCTCAGAAGGGTAGAGGGACAGCACAGGAGAGGAAGACCCAGGATGAGACAGATTGACACAGTAACTGGGGTAATGGGGGGTTGGGGTCAGTGAGACTGGCTCAGGACAGAGCAGGGTTCAGAGCTGCTGTACATAGAGTCACTATGGGTCGCAGGTGACTCCATGGCACTTAATAACAACAGCAACAACTAATGTTTGGATTTCAGTATCAGTGGAATTTGAGATCTTACTTCTCTCACCCTCAGTGTCTTCTTCCATGAAATAGGGGTAACATTATTTCCTTCCTGTAGTTGTCCTGAAGGTACAATGAGATTATGTGTGTAAACTAATGCCAAGTGTCAGGGGCTTTACTTTATTTTTATTCCAGCAAACAATGAGAGTCTTTAATTCAACTGAAAAAAATGCTTTCTGTCATTGACCAAGCCCCAAGCGTTTGGACTCCTCCGTTTTGTTAGTTGGATTTCCAGGATCTGACGTGAAACTGATGCAGAAGCATATGGGGTGGAGTGTTATCCCTGGAACAGCCTACCCTGGCTAATGGCCTTGTCTCCTCTCTTTGCTTTAGAAAGGGGCCACCATGAAAGGCCTGCAGATAACCGGTCCCATTTCCACACACTCCCTTGAGTCTGCTGGCCCTCCGGTTGGGAAGAAGGGAACCTCAGCTCTGTCTGCCCTGTTGGAAATGGAAGCCAGTCAAAAGTAAGTGTCTGGTGGAGAGGGCCATGTTTCCATTCCACTCGCCCCAAGGGACTTCTGTGCCTCCCTGTCACAGGAAGGGTGAAATACGACATCTGTCTCCAAGGAACTTGTAATGATTTTTTCATGCATGAAAAGAAAACTAGGTTAGTGCCTGGTAAGTGTCAAATACCCTGTATAGGATAGAACAGAATTTCTAAACACCCTGGCTCTGGGCTCAATTTGACCTATAAATGCATTTTGTTAAGCCTCCAAGGTGTTAAAAGAGCTCTGGTGGCCTAGTGGGTAGAGAGTTCCACTGCCAACTCAAAGGCAGTCAGTTTGAATCTACCAGCTGTTCCACAGGAGAAAAATGGACATTCTCCTCTCGGGCGATTTACTGCCTCTGAAAACTGATAGGGTCAACTTTGAGTCGGTCTGGCTTGACAGCAGTTAACAACATGAACACAAGGTGTTAAATTTTTTTCAGTGAAAAACTCTTAAGTTTGAAAAAGTCTGGATTTTAGCTGGAGACCTCTAGGACCAAATGTGACAGGGCCTGTCCCAGAACTCCAGGACTCCTCACCACCCTTGATCAGCCCTTGTACCTCTGTCAGCATCTCCAGAGCATAAGGTTAAGCCCTTCTTCAGGCAGGGGCTTCTGATCCCAAGCCAGACTTGATATAAGGAGAGCTGGGCATGGACCCCTCAGCCTGGTTCTCGGTAGGGAGCCTTCCCTGTTCTTTGTGAGGGTTGAGAAGACCGTAACCCAAGGCTGAGACAAAGGATAGGAAGTGGACTAGTTAGGCTCTAGGTGGTATTGAACCATCTGCTGGCAGCCTGTGAGCTTCAGTCAGCTCTCAGCCCTCAGACTGTGGGTGGCCCCAGAAAGATAATGGACATGCCCTAAATCTGGTACACCCCAGCCTCACCTGGCTTTATCTGAGCACAAGGCATCTCTGAATCTGGATATGTATGGGGTAGGGCCCATACCCTGACTTTATTTAGCTCTTAGCTCCCAAGAGATAAGGTGGATCAGTTCATGCCTCTGGGTCTGCAGAAGTTTGGCATTTTTGAAGTTCTGATGCTCAGAGATAAGTGGCTAACACCTGAGGCTGGCAAACCCTTTTCCTCATTCCCACATCTGCAGTGTTATCTTTGAGGCTTCTTCTAAAAGGAAGCAGCAGCCTCGTGAGCTCACCTGGACTGGAGCCCTCTTGATGTGGCCTGGGAGTTTTCATGTTATCTTTAGCAGTATTACTTTTCCTTGCCCCAGGGAAAGAATTGGTACCTCAAATCAAACCTGTTATCACTGAGTCAGCCTCATGCACAGTGACGTTCTGGGACAATGTCAGAGCTGCCCCAGAAGGTTCCCAGCGCTGTAAATCTTTATGGCCCCTGACACCCTTGTCCACTGAGCAGCTGTTGAGCTCAAATCACTGAAAACCTGATTGATAGCAGAGTTATGTTACCGCCATGCTTGCAGGACTCCTCCAAAGCTAATCTGTTCCAACCAAAGTAGCCCTAGAGTTCGGAAGTCTTTGGGGCCCAGGCGAAAGCATTGGTGGTGTTCACAGAAAGGAGGACTCAACACACAGGGCAGCAGAGAACATGTGTGTGATAACCTCGCTAGACCCTTTCCTCAGCCTAGCGAAGCCCTCGTAGGCCACAGACGAGGTCTGTCCCTATATTGTCTGGCCCTGGATGGGCTCCAGTTCTATGGGCAAATAAAAACAAATCAGCAGGGGAGGCGGAGAAAATCTGGAGAATATCCATTTTGACGGGAAAAATATAATGTACGTCATGCATTATAATGCAGTCCAGCGTGATTGCACGCGTGTGCATAAGCTCTCAAGTCAACCCATAGCTCACCCTCCAGTGAGGTTTCTGAGGCTGTAAATCACACGGGAGGAGGTTGCCTGTCTTTCTCCCTCTACTGGATTTGAACAACCTGCCTTTGGATTGACAGCACAGCTCCTTACCCACTAAGGCACCAGAGCTCTATAGATGATATATAAAACAATAGACAGTGTATGTTGTAGCATAATGCATGATTGTATATAGTGTATACAGTCCAGCTGTAAATATATTAGTTGTAATTATTTGCAGCCTGGTAATACTGGGCCCATGTGACATAGCCATATGAAGAAGACACGGGGGCTGACCCTTCAGAAATGACACATGCTCTCTGGTCACCAGAGCCCACCACTTCTTACCTTGCACCTTCAATCTTGCTCTCAGCTTTTCTGGGCATCTGATTGTGTGGCTTCTGTGTAAACAGTAATGTATCCAGGTCCGTTATGGGACCGTATGTTGCTGGAAAGGGCAGGCAGCTTCTCCCAAGAAGTGGCATTTATACCTGAAAAGCAAGGAAGGGCCAGCAGGGGGAAGGTGAGACTCGCGAAGAGGGATGCCATTACCGGGGACAGACATAACTTGCTCCGGGAAGCGTCCCCGAGCCACTCATTCTCCTGCCTGCGTTATTTTTTCTTTCTGCTTTCCAGAGCACTTAGCAATATTCTGGGGCCTTGATTACTTACTCTCTTATCTTCCCTGAGTTGATGGTGTGCTCTGAGGGCAGGGGCTATTGGGGTGTGTGTTTAGTGAGTGATGGAGGCGGTGAAGCCAGGGTGTCAGGGGAGACTGGACCACGTCTGTCTGCTGTGAGGGTGTGGGGCATGTGCAACAGGGGTCCACATACATAAGGCTTCCAGACAGCATCACTGAGGGAGCAAATGTGTGAGGTGTGGAAGGTGAGAGGAGGTGAGACGCCAGGCTACCGTGACACTTCCTCGTAGAATCCTCGGAAGGTTTAAACTTCCTTATTTTTTTGTAATGGAAAGTTTCAAACAGTGGACAATCTAAAATTTCAAAAGGAGACGGCTTAGTGTAATCTTAAAGAAAAAACCAAAACAGCTCCGTCATTGCTATACAACTGGAACTGTCTCCTCACTGACCCTCCAGCAGGTTTTCAGAGATGATTGAATGCTCACATGAGAGGTTGCTCATCTTTCTCCCTTTAGAGCAGCTGGTGGATTGGAACTGCCCGCGTTTTTCATCTGTGCTTGTATACCTTGCCTGACTGTCTATATATTTATTAATATTGCAGATTGTATATATAATAGTGTTTGCCGTTGGGACTGGATATCTTGTGTACTTCTCTATGTCTTCTGCTTCTTTTTGTTAAGCCAGTTTCCTTGTGTTGTGGGATAATATCTGTGTGATGAGATTGCTTTTATGAGGTCTAAATGTTTGTTTGAAAGAGTAACATATAAACACGTCAGTGTTCTCACATTTCCCCCTATTTAATTTTGTGCTTCATGTTAACCTAACCTTAACTTTCAGACTCTGCTTTTGCTGGTTTATTTGGTAAGAAACTGGAGCAAAGTCTTCCTGAGCATTAAGAGCTTGGTGTTCATGGGAAAAGTCACTAAAATCCATACCCTTTTCCTTTGCAAAATCATGTGTAGGCACCAGGATGCTTTTCAAATTGGGCTGTTTCTCTCGTGTCCCATGACGGGCTTACTTAGGGAGTTCTCTTAGGAGTTGTGCTACTGACTCAAAGGTGGTACTTTTTTTGGTGGTTCGAATCCACCAGGGGCTCCTTTGGAGGATGATGGGCAGTCTCTTCTGGGAAGATTTAGAGCCTCAGAAAACCTGCTGGTGTGTCAGCTGTGGATTGATTCCATCTGGATGGCAGTGAGATGAAGGACTTGTGGTTGTCAAGGACGGTAAGTGCAGTGAAAGCTGTCAAGAAGGACCAGAGTGAGGAAACGTGGCAGAAGTTTGTGTTCTAAAGGACACAACTGGGTATCTTCATCTTGGCTACCGTGATCCTTCCCCAGGGAGCTCTGAGCAGCCTACAGCTATGGTGTTTCCTCCTCAGGTGCCTCGGAGACCAGCAGTCAGCGGGACACGGTACAAAGAGCTCTGCCCAGCCTGCAGAAAGCTGCAGTGTTGCCATGACCCCCACGTATGTGGACAGCCCCCGAAAGGTAAGAGGCCCCCTCCTGGGAGACTGCTGTGCGATGTGGTAGGTGAGCTGATTGTACTCTCTCTCACTTCATTGTCACTGAAAGATAAAGGAGCTTTGACAGATGTATTTTACTATTCAAAATTGTGGTCACATGATAGATCCTCCTAGATGTGAATTGAGTTTGCTTTTATAAAATGGCATTTGCCTGTTATTAAATGTTTTTCTCCAAAGCATATATTAAAAAATGGCTATTGAGAGGCAAGGATGGCGGAACTCCGTCTCACGTATTTTGGTCATACAGTTAGGAGGGGGCCACTCCTCGGAAGAAGATGTCGTGCCAGTAAAGGTAGAGGGTTGGCGAAAGAGAGGGAGACCTTCAACGGGGTGGACTGACACAGTGCCTGCAGCCATGGGCTTGAGCAGGACACAGCTGTGAGGCAACGCTCAAGGGTCACTTGTGTTGTTCACAGGCCGCCATGAATTGCATTCTACGTGGTGGCCCTAACACCACGTAATAGTTCGTCATCCAGATCTGGCCTCATCACAACTTACTTTTTAAAATTGTAGATTGAGTTTCTGATTTCTCCATAATTTTTGGTAATTGTTTCTTGAACTTGAATTCTATATATACTTTAACATACTATGATGATCTAAATAAGGCAGCAAATGTTACTTGTACCTGATTATTTGACCATATCTCATATTGTTTCTTCAGGGTAGATTATTTCAATTAGACTCTTAGGATGGAGAGATGACAGCTGAAGATAACTTATCAACCACGGCTACAGGCATTTGATAGAAACTATAGACCAGTGATTTATTGTTACTTAAAAAGATCAGAGTCAAGATTTTTAAATTTTGTGGGAAAAGAAGCAAATCAATGCTATTGCATTGGGTGAATAATCATTTCAAACGGCTAACCATTCTTGTCTTACAGGCCATGACAAAGCAGGGGGCTGGCCTGAGCTGGTCTACTGGCAATGATGTGGACCCTTGCTCAAGGCAGTGGCTTTAGGACCACTCCCAGAAGTGGTCTGTGTATAATGCAGTCACTCAAGGGAGAATTCTTTTCTCCTGTGTTCGTGCATGTCGACTTCAGACCAGCAGCTTCTGTGAACGGGCACTGGGGTTTTTTTGGCAGGAAAGGGACACAGATAACACAGTGTGATGTGTAATACCTTGTGCCTTGTCCATTAGCTTTTATCCCTGCTCACTGTCACCTGTGGGTTTTCAGGGATTAGAAACTGCCAGGAGCAGGAGTGAAAAGTGGAGAAACAAATTGTCACAGAATTAAGGTGGTGGTGGTTGTAACTGTTAGGTGCTTCCAAGTGGAGTACGACTCATAGCAGCCCTGTTAACAACAAATCTGAGGCAGTCCCAGAGACCACATGCCAGACTGTAGCTCTCTCCAGTTGAAAACTACACTCTACACAGATATAGCATCAGCGGTGCTCGATCTTGACTTCCCAGTTGCCATGGGATGTCCTGAGGAAGCTGAAGTGGAGAACCCGGGCAGGCAAGCCCAGAAATTTTTAGTGACATCTCTGGTCAGATCATTTGGGGTCTGCCAGGGGTGCCTGACTTTGCATTTCTTGGGGTCACATTCCCATAGTCCACTTCCGGAGCTCACAGTGGCATAGAGAGCACAGCAGCAAGGATGCTGTAACAGACCCCAAAGAGCTCATTTATTCTGCTGTTAGAGTTAAGGGGCAAATTATAGGAAAGCAGGGACCCAGCGAGTTATTAAGTCCCATTTCTGAAGCTCAGTTGATGATGAAGCAGAAACTGTGAAAAGATTTTGAAAGAACAGAGGGCATTTCTTGACTTTAAGAAGCAGGGAAATCAGTGACGATCCAGCACCCAGAGTCTCAGTTAATGAAGCGACCCCCACGGGCACAGGCTGGCGGGCTTAGGAATAAACCTCCATTCATGCCTTCAGATCTTATCAGGCACTTTCTTTATGCTAGCTTTAGTGGGCGAGAGTTAAGAAAACCGGCCCAACCCTCTGGGAGCCCACATAATGAAATGAAGCCGTAGATTAGATAGCTTTTGCAGAAATGACTTGCCCTCACTGGGCCATACCCTCTAACTCCTGAAATTGCCTCTGCTCATCATTGCATTCCAAATTTGTGTCCACGAAGCCACAACACACTGTGAATCTAAAAGGGATGAGAGAAGAGCTTACTGAGGAGATTGGGGGCCACAGAACGAGGCTTTCTCTTCCTGTTTGTCCCCCTCCTCACTTCCGGAAGCCTTCCCAGAACCACCAAGGCTCGTTGGAAAATCTGACAGCCACTGGATGTGATGGAATCATCAAAGGGCCCATCTGTCTGCCTGTTGTTGTGTGCCGTCAAGTAGGAAGTGACTCATTGGTTGACCCTCCAGGAGGTTTCCTGGGACAGTAAATCACATGGAACTTGATTTCCATCTTTCTCCCCAGGAGCAGATGGTGGATTTGAACCATGTGTCTTTGACTTTGCAGTGCAGCTCCTTACCTCTCAGCCACCAGAGCTCCTCCCTTCTGCGTGAAGGACAGGGGTTAACACTGGCCTTCTACTCGGTCCCTTGCTACCCGGGTCAGGAGAGGCTGGTCTGACCCCGGGATTCCGGCTCTTGCACGTTGTCAGTGTAGCTGTGCAAATCTCTGAGGGCTCGTCGGGGCTCCTGGCATTGCCTTTATGCATCATACTCCTGCTGTGGGGAGCCCTGGTGGCACAGTGGCTAAGCACTTGACTACTAATGGAAGGGCCAGAGTGGTTGTAATCCCCTGAGCCACTCTGTTGTTGTTGTGTATCATCAAGTCGGAACCGGCTCGTAGCTGACCATCCAGCGGCTTTTCAGTGGTGGTTACCCGCACAGGAGGAGATTGCCCATCCCTCTCCTGCGGAACAGCTGGTGCCTGGCAGTCTGCTCCTAAAACGATTGACAGCCTAGAAAATCTCACGGGGCGATTCTAGTCTGTTCTCTAGAGAGGCTGTGAATTGGAATTAACTCAGTCAACTCAACAGTGCTCAACGACAAAGTACTGTTCTCACAGCCGCCATGTCCCTTCAGTGCAATGACTGATTAGTTCTCTGTCAGTCACTGGAGGCCAGAGCCAGCACCTCATTTCCTCTCTGAAAGTAACTCACTCGTTTCATTTGAAAGTAGCTCACTCACTCATTTCCTGCCATTGAGACACAGCTGACTCATAGCTGACACTCCAGCAGGTTTTTCAGAGGCTTTGAATCACATGGGAGGAGATTGCCCATCTTCTTCCCTCGGGGTAGCTGGTGGGCTCGAACCGTCTACCTTTAAGTTGACAGTGCAGCTCCTCCTCATTAAGGCCACCAGAGCTCCCTAGTAAGAGCTCAGGGAGGTTAGTTTGTGGGAATCAGCTACAAAAGAGCTATGTAAAAGAAGTCGTCTTATTTCAGAAGTTGTCTTTGGAAAGCTGTTCTGGTGCCAATTTTTCCCACAGCTGTAGTGACTTGGGCCTTACCCCGAGCAGAGTAAGAGGAGCAAGCAGGCATTGCAAAGCTCCTGATAGTGCCCATGCATGTGACATTACGGATTTCCTGATCCATTGACAAAGCTTCTGTTGCCCACATCTCCCCTTGTCAATTCAGAAAATTCAGAGCATTTTCCTACATTGAATGCTTTCCTCCTATCTGGCTGCCGCATTACGCCAGACAGGAGTGGAGACCTCAGGCCTCTGAGCTTTTTGCCCCGCAGTCATCTTGGGGGCTGGGACTCCCCTCGAAGCCTCTCTCTGCCATCTCCACGCTCCATGGCCTTCCGCTTTCTCGGCATAGGTCTGAAGGCGTTTTAGAGCTCTGTGGGAGAGCATCAGCATCCATGTCGGGCTCTGAGGAGACCTGTGGGGGCGTGGATACACCTTCTAGGCCAGGTGCCTCTCCCACACTGGTGGGGTCTCTCCCCAAGAAGGTGTGCCTTCCTGCTGCCGCTTTGCCCTGGGGTATTGGCTGGCTGATAGATTTTTTATTTTTCCTGTTCCTCTCATCTGCCCTGGTTTCTCTTCTTCCTTGTCTTGTTTTGTTCTGTGTCGTTTTCCCCTGTCCTCGCTCCCTGATGGCTCACTGCCGGTACACCTTTGGTTCCTTCGCTGCCTTGCACCTGCTGCTGTTGCCGCTTCCTCCTCCTCCTCCTCCGACTTCAGGATGGGGCCTTCTTTGTGGAGTTTGTCCGCAGTCCACGCACGGCATCGTCCAACTTCTACCCACAGGTTAGTCTGACCCTGGGCACCCAGCCCGCGCATGCACATGCCTGTCACCGGCAAGGCAAGCTCTATGGGTGGAATTGGGCTGGTTGACACTGAGCTTGAAGGTGAGATCAGAGGTCTGCTTGGTGTTTACAGCAGCAAAGGGACTGGAAAAGGTTCATGTACAACAGCAGTCACGCTGGCATTGATGCACATGCTTCTCTCTGCCCCACTGCATCACACCATTGCCACTGAGTGTGGTAACAACCTCTGCTTTAAGGGTTTCTGTCCATACAGTTGTTGTTGTTGTTGTTGTGGACTATAGCGTCAGAATCAACCCGTACCAGACCCTCCAGGAGGTTTTCAGAAGCAGTTAATCACATGGGAGGAGATTGCCCATCCTTCTCCTGTGGAACAGCTGGTGGCCTCAAACCACATGCCTTCGGTATTGCAGTGCAGCTTCTTGCCACTAGGCCACCAGAGTCTGACGTCCATATAGTATAAAGGACATAAAATATGCTTATATAAAGAACCAACTTTTTTTAAAATTTCCCTCCAGCAAAGCCATCTCAGTGTCTGGCAAGGTGATCCACCCAAGCTAACGAGTATTAATGGGCATGTGCTAAGTCAAAGATGTCTCCAAATTGCTAAAGAGCAAGATTATCATTTTAAGGTGCACTTGATTCAAGTCATGGTTTTTTCAGTTGCTTCCTTTGCCTCTAACGGTTAGGGAGTGACTAAGGATGACAGAAGAAAAAAAATGATGCTTCTGAGTTGTGTTGGGGAAGAGTACTTAATATTCCGTGACCTGCTAAAGAACAAATCTGTCTCGGAGGAAGTATAACCAGGGTGCTTCTTAGAGGCAAGGATGGTGAGATTTCGTCTGTCGTACTCTGGGCATGTTATCAGGACTCTTGAAAAAGACTGGGAAAGGTAGAGGATGAGCGAAAGAGAGCAAGGCCTTTCACGAATGGATTGACATGCTGACTATAACAATGGGCTTATCAGAGATGGTAAGGATGGCACGGAATAGGGTCTGTTGTTCATAGGGTCGCTATGAGTTGTAGTCAACACGGTGAAAGCTAACAACAGCAACAGGTCATTGACAAATTTTGTGTGGTCACTCACCTCGCCCAACTATACTGTGTGTGCTTGTCAAATGAAGCATCTGGTGTAGGTTTTCAGGGACCTTCTAAGTTTTGAAATGGTTCACTTCCTAGTACCAGGCATACGTTATTTCATCCTCCTAACAACCTATGCATCAGAGAGCTAGACAGTGACTAGGAATGATAGAAGGAGAATTGATGCCTTTGAGCTGGGGTGCTGGAGAAGAGTATTGAATATACCATAGACTGCTAAGAGAACAAACAGGTTTGTCATAGAGAGGGTGAAACCAGGCTGGTCCGTGGAGGTAAGGATTCTGAAGCTTCGTCTTTGGACATGTTGCCAGGAGGGACCAGTCCTTGGAGAGGAACATCATGCTTGGGAGGGTAGAGGGACAGCGCAAGAGAGGAAGGTCCTCGATGAGATGGACTGACACAGTGACCGGGGTAATGGGGGTAGGCGTGTCAGAGACAATAAGATTGGCACAGGATAGAGAGCAGGGTTTAGGGCTGTTGTACACAGGGTTGCTGTGAGTTGCAGGTGACTCAACAGCACATAACAACAACCACCTATGATTTAAGTAGAAAGTTTGTATCACTTTTTACAAATGAAGAAATCAGGGCACAAATAATGTTGTCATGTGCTCAAAGGACACAGTAAAGGTTAGAGCTGGGCTTTAAACTCTGGGCCCCCAGCTTGAGAGCTGTTCTGTAATCCACAATAAGGATCGCGACCTTGACAGGTTCTAGTTGAAGAGAAAGAAATCCGGGAGCTGCAATGGTTAAGAGCTCGGCTGCTCTGTGGGAGAAGGATGTGGCAGCCTGCTTCAATAAAGACAGAAACCAAACAGATCAGCCTTGGAATCCCTCAGACGCACTTCCCTTCAGGATTGCTGTGATTCAGGATCAACTCCAAGGTAGCAAGTTTGACTTTTGGTTTAGGTGGAGAGAAACTGGGCTCCCTGCCCTGTTTTAGAGGCCCCTATTGTTGTTCGGTGCCGTGGAGTTGCATACGGCTGATAGTGACCCTGTGAGACGACATATCTGAATCCTGGCCTACTCTGCTCCATCCTTACCATCCCCAACACGCTTGAGCCCATTACTGAAGTCTCTGTATCAATCTTTCTCATTGTGGGTCTTCCTCTCCTTGATTGATACTCTGCCTTTCCAAGCATGGTGTGTGAAATAAAGTGATCTGCAGAGAAGCAGTTATAGAGATCTGACAGGGTCGAGAGAGGTTTTGTGGAGTAGGGCAGGCAGAGAAGGATGGGACTTGGGAGGTTCAGTGGCAAAGGTTAAGGAGTTGTCTTACTTGATGGATAAAACCAGTACTTATTGAGGGTTCACCCTCCAGCTATGGTGGAGAGGGGCTTTATAAGCATAATCTTTTTAACACTATCAGATGGCAGTCTTGTGACCTCAGTTTCTGGGTGAAGAGACCGAGCCTCCAAGACATTGCCTGGTCAAAGGGCATGTGAGGCATCTGTCCAGTGAGGGCTAAACTTCTCTATCACCTTGTCCTCATTTTGAGAGTGAAAGGAGTTAGTTAACAGCAGAGTCTTATTTTCTTAGGAGACCAGGAGAGGCTGTGTCTCTCTGTACTGGCCTTTAGCCACATCTGCTTCTTAACCAGTGAGCCATGTGGCCCCAGGTAGGTCCTGTCCGGACGTTTCAGTCCCAGTCAGGGATCACTGACCTCTATGTGTGGGAGGCACACTCTCATTGCTTTAAACAGACTTGAGTTGACCTTCTTAGTCCTTTACTGTAAAACAGGGAGCTCTGGGGGCATAGTCTGTAGAGAATTGCCTTACTAATCCAAAGGCTGGCCACGCTTCTCTTGAGTGGTTCAAACCCACCAGTGGTTCCTTGGGAGAAAGATGGGCACTCTCCTCTGTGCAATTTACAGATGTGGAAGCCTGTGGGAGAGTCAGCTCTGAGTTGTTTGTCACTCCACAGCAATGAGAGAGAGAAAGAGACTGTAAAACAAAGACTAGTGAAAAGTTTTGGACTTACATTAGCATTTTACCTAAGAAGAGTCAACAGAGCTAGAAAGGTCACGTAATAGAATACTCCACACCACTTGGTTTGGTTGGGATTTGTTGTAAGGACAAATGTGGATGTGAGTTGACACAATTGGGAATGCAAATAGAGATCAGACTTCAGGACAGCTGTGTTGTTGTTATGTGCTATCAAGTTACCTGTGACTCATAGTGACCCTATGTACAACAGCCCTAAACCCTGCTCTAACCTGAGCCAACCTTATTGTCTCTGACACACCTACCACTATTACCCCAGACACTGAGCCAATCCATCTCATTGAGGGACTTCCTCTCTTGTGCTGTCCCTCCACCCTCCCAAGCATGATGTCCCTCTCCATGGACTGGTCTCTCCTTGCAACAACCTCACCAAAAGTGTTGTAGAAAAGGTGTATAAAGTTTTGGGTTTTTTGGTTTTTTAAAAAAAGCTACAGGTATTCACAACAGCTATAACAACCAGCTGCTGAAGCTGTGTTCGTCTGCATCCAAACACCTCATAGGATTTAGTTTCTTGAATATGAAGGTTTAAGATCATGATTTCATGGGACATCCTAGTGAGTTGACCTAGTATGCTTAGTGATCGTTCTTCCTAGCCCCTTCTGTAGTACCTGGGGTCTTAAGAGCTTACAAGTGGCCATCAGAGGCAGGATACCTGGACTACCAGGAAGAAGACTTCAGAATAGGCCAGGAAATGAAATGTGTGGCGAAATTGCCTCCATACCCAACAGCCTCCTTTGCCACGAAACCAGAACTGGATGAGGCCTGGCTACCATTATGGAATGTTTTGATGAGAGACTTTATAGCCTAATTCTGATCAAAAGGAAGGAAAATACAGAACAGAATTTAAAATTTTTATAGAACCAGCAGGAAGTTTTGGTGGCCTAGGAGTAAGAAACTGCACTACAAGCCCAAAGTTACATAGTTCAAATCCACCAGCTGTTCTGTGGGAGGATGGGTGGTTTCCTCCTGTGCAGTTGGTAGCCTCTGAAAACCTGCTGGAGGGTCAGCTTGGAGTTGGCTCTGACTCTGTGGTACCCAACAACCACCATGGAGCCCACACTTTATAGAGCAAAGGGGAATGGATAAAGTTCCTGCACCTATTACCTGAGATCATCTTTAAGTCTTAAACCCGAGTCTTCTTAAAACCAGGCGGCAGCTTAGCTTACTTAGTAAAAGAACATGCCCCTTGATATATGGGATCAAACTGATGCCAGCAGCTGCACTTAGGTAAGGAACTTAGAGGCAGTGAGTTTGTGCTAATGAGGGAGGACCAGTTTGGAACAGGAAGCTAAGAATGGTTGCCTGATAGGAAGAACATGCTAAGAGTCACTGAACGGTATACATAGAAATTGTTGAATTAATTTGTAGTCTATTGTGTATTTTCTCAACAGCCACAAATAAGAAAATAAATGTTTTTTAAAATGAACCATGCTTATCTAATATGAAAAATAGTTCTAGCTATTCATATCAGATGGGGCAAGAGACAAAATTAAATTGTACTTGGTTTGCTATCTAACTGGAAGTCTGGAAAGATGAGAGGGTAGTTGTGTTAGATGGCTTATTGCACATCTTGGTTCCAGCTCTGTGACTGAGATGCCTCAGACAGATTCATTAACCCGTGAACCTCAGCATCCCCATTTGTTACATGGAAATAACAGGCATTTCCTTTTGGGGTCCTTTTGCCCAGCAGAAAATAACCTGTTTTCCAACAAATGTCAGGGGAATGAAATCACTGAGTGTATTTCCTACTTTAGTATAATCAAGTGGCATGGCAGAGGCATAATTAGAAAGACCTCCTAAGTCTGGAAATGAAGCGACCCACTACTGGTGTTTTATGGTACAATGATAATATATGCAGCATGGCTAACATGGTGCTTGATACATG